GGACTTGAGGTCCTCTGACGGCTGTACAGATGATTCAGGGTCGTGTATGGTCTTGAGCTCACGAAGAGCTCCCTGGGGCGCATCTGCCCTCTTCATGATTTTCCGATCTTTTTCTTTCAACGCGTGAGACAGGAAGTTCCACGCGTGGAATGCGAGCTCTACTTGCTCGCTCCGGTACTGCTGTGACAGCGAAAACTTGCTCTTTCCGCTGTTGACGGGGATCTCCAAGCTCCCACCTTCTTCAAATTGTTCCAACAGGTTTGCGCCATTAGCTGCCATGCGGAAATCATTTAGCCATTCGTTGAAATCTTTCGATTTCCCGCTGAACGAAGGAGAAGTGTACCGCACACTTTGGTACCCCGTCGCTGGGGTTGTGGCTCCGTATCCAAAGCCAACAGCAGCACCACCATCTCCCATGTCACTACTATAACCTTGGTTGTGAGCAGCGGCTACTCTCACCTCTTGGGGGACAAAGCCCCCTGCTTCGCCGCTGTGTCGCCCTGATGGGCCAGACTCTCGAACAGGTTCGCGCAGGTACCTCGCGTCCTGCGCACTCCCGGTCCACGGTGCCCCTCCTTCGGCGTTCGTGGACTCCGCGGCGGCGCTCTCCCTAGCATCGCCGCGATCAGCGGCACCCTCCATGGTGCCAGCTGGCTCCTCCTTCGTGCTTGTCTTCATGGTATCTTGCACTAGCGACATTAGCTGGCTCATCTGATCCGTCAGCGAGCAAACTTGCGTCTCCAGGGCCACGAGCTCTTCTCTTGACCTCTTTCTGTCTTCCGCCGCAGAGTCGCTGGAGGAGTCACCCCCATCTTTGTGACCTGACATTCCTTATGGGCTCTCCCTCGAGGGACTGACACTAGTGTGTTCGTATTTGTCCTTTACGTGGAAGGGGAAGACGTTTTATCTCTTGTGTTAGACACGCAAGGGGAGTAGGGAGAAGTGAAGCCCTCTTTGGAGTTCGAGGGGTCCCAGCACATGCAACCATTTCAAGGTGTACATATGCCCCATCTGCGTGCCCTCTGTTGTTGCCGGTAGATCTAACCAGTCCGTAAACCCGTCCCCGGCCTGCCCCCATCGTCCCTGGGATAGGCCGAGGTTCCGCAAGTGGATCTAGACCGCGAAAGACCACCCAGCAACAACGGCTATACGGTCCCTAGCACTAATTAGAGGGGAATCCTGAGTTTGGCGGTTGGGAGTTACTGCTGTCGTGAGATCGGGGTAGCTCCTGAGCCGCCAGCTTTGGTAGCTGCAAAATGAGACTGGATCCTGACGCCCCTGCTTGGACACCGGGGCTATGCAGCAGCAGAGAGCATGGTGAGGGTGGCGGAGTGGCCGCACGCCGTGGAGGTATGCCCCAGAGAGAGGAAAGGCGAGAGGCCAGAGATGGAGGGCCACACCGCTCTGAGACAAGAAGACAACTCTATGGGAAACAAGGCAAGAACCAGGGTAACTACCACGTGAGCCCAAGTGTTCGCAAGAAAATAGTAAAAAAACAAAAAACGAGGGGAATATGGAGGAAAAGGAGGGGTCAGGCGGCGCGTAGGCTAGCTAAGAGAGAAGCGCGCGCCGCGCGAAAGAGACAGCAGGGTCAATTTCTTAGGGTAGCAACCTGGAATGTGCGGACTTTGGCTGTAAACGGGGCCAATGGATA